TCAGTACAATATGTTTCGTTTTCAAAATGGCAAGTGTTTTTTGTTGTTCAAATTTTTATACCATTTCTTTATTAAAAAATATTTGTTTATTTATTTGAAAGGTAGAGTTGCAGAGAGAGAGAGAGAGACAGATCTTCCATTCGCTGATTTACTCCCTAAATGGCCATGACAGCCAGGGCTGGGCCAGGCTAAAGTCAAGAGCACAGGATTTCTTCTAGTTCTCCCATGGGGGTTATAGGGAGCGATGCACTTAGCCCATCTTCTGCTGGGTTCCCAGACACATTAGCAGGTAGCAGGATCAGAAATGTTGTAGCTGGGACTCAAACTGGCACTTGTATGGGATTCTGCATTGCAAACAGTAGTCTAACCTACTAAGCCAAAATGCCACCCCTCTATTATCCTTTCTAATTATCTTTTTTTAACTTTTATTTAATGAATATAAATTTCCAAAGTACAGCATATTGATTACAATGGCTTCCCCCCCATAACGTCCCTCCAACCCGCAACCCTCCCCTTATCCACTCCCTCTCCCCTTCCATTTATATCAAGATTCATTTTCGATTCTCTTTATATACAGAAGATCAATTTAGTATACATTAAGTAAAGATTTCAACAGTTTGCTCCCACACAGAAACATAAAGTGAAAAATACTGTTTGATTACTAGTTATAGCATTAAATCTCAATGTACAGCACACTAAAGACAAAGATCCTACCTGAGGAGTAAGTGCACAGAGACTCCTGTTGTTGACTTAACAAATTGACACTCTTGTTTATGGCATCAGTAATCATCCTAGGCTCTTGTCATGAGTTGCCAAGGCTATGGAAGCCTTTTGAGTTCACCAACTCTGATCATATTTAGACAAGGTTGTAGTCAAAGTGGAAGTTCTCTCCTCCCTTCAGAGAAAGGTACCTCCTTCATTGATGACCCATTCTTTCCACTGGGATCTCACTCAAGGAGATCTTTCATTTAGTTTTTTTTTTCCCCAGAGTGTCTTGGCTTTCCATGCCTGAAATACTCTCATGGGCATTTCAGCCGGATCTGCATGCCTTCAGGGCTGATTATGAGGCCAGAGTGCTGTTAGGACATTTGCCATTCTATGGGTCTGCTGTGTATCTCACTTCCCATGTTGGATCATTCTCTCGCTTTTTGATTCTATCAGCTAGTATTTGCAGACACTAGTCTTGTTTATGTGATCCCTTTGGTTCTTAATCCTATCATTACGATCAATTGTGAACAGAAATTGATCACTGGGACTAGTGAGATGGCATTGGTACGTGCCACCTTGATGGGATTGAATTGGAATCCCCTGGTATGTTTCTAATTCTACCGTTTGAGTTAAGTCAGCTTGAGCATGTTCCGAATTGCACATCTCTTCCCTCTCTTATTCCCACTCTTATATTTAACAGCGATCACTTTTCAGTTAAGTTTCAGCACTTAAGAAGAATTGTGTATTGATTATAGTATTCAACAAAAGTATTAAGTAGAACAAACAAAAAAATTACTAAGAGGGATAACATATCAAGTTGCTCATCAACAGTCAGGTGAAGGCTGATCAAGTCACCGTTTCTCAGAGTGTTCATTTCACTTTAACAGGTTTCCTTTTTGGTGCTCAGTTAGTTGTCACCTATCAAGGAGAACAAGTGGTATTTGTCCCTTTGGGATTGGCTTATTTCACTCAACATAATGTTTTCCAAATTACTAAGAGGGATCACTTTTCAGTTAAAATTTAAACACCCAAGAATAATTGTGTGTTAATTACAGAGTTCAACCAATGGTACTAGAGCAAAAAAGAATACTAAAATGGATAAAGTATTACATTGTACATCAACCGTCAGGACAAGAGCTGATCAAGTCACTGTTTCTCATAGTGTCCATTTCACTTCAACAAGTTTCCCCTTTGGTGCTCAGTTAGTTGTCGCCAATCAGGGAGAACATATGATATTTTCACTTACTAAGAGAAGAGAGTTTAAGTCTTCCATAAATATTGTAAATTGCTTATTAATCTTTTCAGATAGTTTTTATATTAGGTTTTTGAAGCATTACTACCTTACTTAAATATTGCTAGGAGTTTTTATGGCTTTTGATGAATTGACTAATCATGAAATACTTTCTTTAACCTTGGTAAATATTCTTTATCTGACATTAATATGGTTACTCCCGCTTCCTCATGACTAGTGTTTGGGTGCTGTGTCTTTTGATTCCCTTTTACTTTTAGTTGATATTAGCTATTAGCTAATTAATACAGATTTCTTGTAGCTATCACATAGTTGGATCTTTTTATCCACAGTGATAATATCCGTCTTTTAGCTTATGTGTTTAATATATTTTGTTTTTTAATAATTAATGTGGTTGAGTTCATATGCATCTTTTTTCTGTTTGTCTACCTGTTCTTTTCCTATCTTTGTATCTAGCTTTGTATTCTATTATCCGACTAGATGTCTGTATTTTTTAATGTGTCCACGTTTCATCATGTTAACTAAAACACCTGAGAAGAGCTTGTTAGTAAGGAAAAGGTTTCTTTCAGCTCACATTATGAAGGTTTCCGTTCAGGTTCATGTACCCCGTAGTCCAGCATCTGTGGAGGCTGAGCATGGCAAGTGTGGAGGAGTGATCGCATGATGATCCAGGAAACGCAGAGAGAACCCAGACTGAACTCAAACTCAAAATAATCAGTCATTCTCAAGAAACACCCACTGAGGAAATGTCTCCAATACTCTAAAGACCTTCAAGTAGTCCCATTTCTTAGCTAACACAGTGAAAACAAATCTCCATCCTTAGGCCATCAACCATTAATTTTAAGACATAAGAAGTTCAACACCTGCTTGAGTTTTGAGGAGACAAGTCATGCTGTAATATTAAAATTTCATTTATTTATTTGAAAGGCAGAGATACAACGAGTAGAGAGGGAAAGAGAGAGAGGGAGACACAGAGAGATTTTCCATGTACTGGTTCGCTCCCTAAATGGCCACAACAGACGGGGCTGGACCAGGCAAAAGCCAGGAGCCAGGAGCTTCTTCCAGGTCTCCCACGTGAATGCAGGGGCCCAAGAAGTTGGACCATCTTCTGCTGCTTTCTCAGGTGCATTTGCAGAGAGCTGGATCTGAAGTAGAGCTGCTTGGACCCAAACTGGTGCCCATATGGGATGCCAGCACTATAGGTGGAGACTGAACCTTCTATGCAACAGTACTTGCCCGCATAACATTTTGTTTTTAATGGTTCATGTAGAGTTTATACTGTCTTCCTTTAACTTACCTTGGTCTACTAGCATATTGTGTGATTCAACTTCACTTATATGGTATGGATTTTAAAGCAATATACTTACATTTCTACCTCCCCACTTATTGTAGTATTGATACCATACATTTTATTTCTATGTACATGGGTATTATTTTTCTTTAAGCAACTTTATTTTGAGGGAATTTAAAAGGAAGAAATTTTTGCCCTCAATTTCTTATTTCAAGAAGGCTTAATTCTTTTATGTGGTGAGTGTTTACACATTAAATCCCTTTTGCTCAGCTGCAGAAGTTCATCTACCAATTTTTCAGTGCAGATCAATAGGCAGTGAGCCTAGTGTTTATTTATCTGAAAATATTTTCACATTATATTTACATTTGTAAGGATATTTGTAAAGATATAAATGTAAGCATTATGATTACATTTGAAAGATATTTATTGGTTATAGAACTCTGTGTATACAGAGATTTTTCTTTTGGCTTTTCAAAGAGGATATTATAGTGTCCACAGTCTTTAGTTTTTTATTAGAAGTCATTGGGAAGTATTACCATTATGTTGTTGTGCATAAAGTGGTTTATTTCTCTAGCTATTTTCTTACATTTTTAAAAGATTTTATTTATTTGAGAGCTATAGTTACAGACAGTGAGAAGGAAAGACTGAGAGAAAGGTCATTCGTCCATTGGTTCACTTCCCCAAATGGCCACAGTATGGCTAGAGCTGCGCTGATCCAAAGCCAGGAGCCAGGTGCTTCTTCCTGGTCTCCCATGTGGGTACAGAGGCCCAAGGACTTGAGCCATTTTCTGCTGCTTTCCCAGGCCATGGCAGAGAGCTTGATTGGAAGAGGATCAGCCGGGACTAGAACCGGCGCCCATATGGGATGCCAGCGCTGAAGGTGGAGTATTAATCTACTATACCACGGCACTGGCCCCAATTTTCTGGCTATTTTCAAGATTTTTTTTTTTCCTCTTTGGATTTCAGTTGCTGATTCTGAACTGCATATATGTGGTGCTTTCGTATTTTTCCTGCTTGAAGTTTGATGAATCTGTGGTTCTCTAGGTTCTTGGTTTATTTCTGAATTTCAACAAAATAACAATAATTTCTTCACATACTTTTTGGCCTCCAATCTCCTCCCCAGTCCCTACCACATTTTGAAACTCCATTTGGCACGCACATTAGACTGAAGCCTCTTTTTTTGGCCTATTATCTGCCTTTACCTCTACCTAAGTAGTTTTTAATCACTTTTCCTTAAGGTTCACCTAAGTTTTTCTGCAATGTCTAGGACATCTTAAAACCCATCCTGTGATGACCACGACATAGAATTCTAGACTTCTTTCTTTTAGTGGCTTACTGTTCAGCAAAAATGCATTCAACTAATTCAGCAACTTTGGAGTCATCTTTGTTCAAGTAAATGAAATCATCATACTCTGCTTGGGAAAATAGCTGTAGGTGGAAAGCTGGTGACTTAGGGATTACTACATTTGCTTCTCTTCTCCATAGAGAATTGCCTGATATTCAGTTTCTGAGAAAAATTACTTCCTGTGTTTTCCATTTGGATAAGAAGGTAATTGGGGGTATCAGTTACTTCTGACCTGAAGTAAAAGCCTATGTTAGTATTTTCAATGTTAGAAGATGCTAAAATATAAATGTTAGCAATACTCATGTCTTCTCCCAAATTCGAAACTTGAAGCCAGAAAATACAGCTCCTACTAAAATTGATAATATTGTAGTAGTGTATTTTTACTTGTATGTTCTACTCATTTATAGCAATGTGGACCTGACAGTTGTTGTGATCCTGCAACTTGTCAGCTGCGACAAGGATTCAATTGTCTCTCAGGAGACTGCTGCTTACAATGCCGTGTAAGAATTATGTTTATTAACATTTTCTAATGACATAATAAATCATGTGTAGTTTACTCTAGAATACTTGGACTTAAGCTATAGTTCAATTACCCTTTTAATAAAAGAGTAAAAAATAATAAATTTAGACCATGTTTCTGAATTTGTGAATTTTTGTTTACTGTTTAGCCTTCTTTCTAATGCTAATATTTTCACTACCTTGATTTTTTGATGTCCTGATTTTCACATGTTATAAAACTCTTTAATACTGAGGATGTTCACTGAAAAGGACAATTATCCATTCAATATAAACTATATTTTATTCATAAATAAAGATGTACTGGTTATGATATATATCTGCAAATTTGTTGTTGAATGATATAGAAATTTTCCAAAAATGTATAAAGAGTAAAACTCACTAAAAACAATGTTTGTTTTCCAAATTGTAGCTGTAGCAAGATTTTAAGTTATGAAGTTATTATAGAAGAGCATTTGCCCAAAGGATCACAATTTAGTTTGAACAGTGAACAATTTGACTTCTGTTCCCTGTTTTCCATTAAACCCTTCCATCATATTTGTAACAGGTTCCTCATGAGAATATGTATGTTAAACTGTCTACCATGGGTTCTGTATTTTTGATTGATTTTTTTCTCATCACATGATTGCATTCTTTTTTTAATTTTGAAAAAATTACAGATACGGGTAGACACACACACACACACACACAGAGAGAGAGAGAGAGAGAGAGAGAGAGAGATTTTCCATCTACTGGTTTATTTCCTAGATGGCCTAAATGGCAAGCGCTGACCCAGGCTGAAGCCAGAAGATAGGAGCTTCATCTGGGTCTTCCACAAGGTTGGTAGGGGTTCAAGCACTTGTTCCTTCCTCCGCTGTTTTTCCCAAGCCAATAGTAGGGATATGGATCAGAAGTGAAGCAGCTGAGACACAAACCAGTACCCAAAACCAGTACCCGATGGGACGGTGCATCCCAGATGGCAGTGTTACTTGCTATAACACACCACCAGCCCACGTGATTACATTCTTACCTCTACAATATTTTCTGTATCATCTAGATATAATAAGAAAAAGTATGATATGCCCATTTAAAAATATTTATATAGATTTTCAGAATGCTGCGTATGGAATTTACTAGAAGATTTCCAGGAGAAAAGATTATGATTAGGTTTCTTCTTCAAATACTTCTATTGTTTAACAACTTCTTTAATCACCCTTCTGTTTCCCTCTGTTCTGTCTGTTCTTTGTATCCCCCATTTGTCATATAAATTGTAAGTATTTCTTAATACAAACTGTGGATTTAATAGGAATATTTTATTTGGGAATTGAATAGATTGCTACAATATTTCACCAAATTAATAATTATCCAAAGTTAAAAATGATCTTTCCTCCCTTGTACTGAAAACACAAGTGAAACCTAGATCAGTTTGTGTAGTACTTTTTCAAATGTCTTATCTCCTAATTTTGTTTGATAGCATTCAGTTTATTTTTAAAGTATTAAGAAAATGCTATTAAAAGATTCTGATACTACTGAGAAAATAAGTCAAAATTTAAATATAAATATAAATCACTGACATAACTTGAAATAAATATTGAGAAACACAACAATCTTATATGTAATGCTCTATTTTATATTTTAATTTCCATTAGTTTAGGGGAGTCGATCATTTATGCAGGCCCCGTTTGCATCCTGAATGTGATTTGCCTGAATATTGTAATGGAAGCTCAGCAGAATGTCCAGTTGACATAACTCTACATAATGGAGTTCCATGCAAAAATAATGAGACTGTTTGTTATGAGGGGAATTGCCCTGATCTTGATATATTTTGTGAGTCAGTATTTGGAAAAGGTAATTTTTTTGTTACATCTAAATAACTGTCCCTCATTAATAAATAAAAATAGTATATTTTTAGATGTGTGACTTGATGTTTTAATATACATATACATTGTGAAAATATTTACCATAATTAAGCCAGTTAAAATATTCATCACTTCACATGGTTACCATTTTCTTTTTTTTTTTAAGATTTTATTTATTTTATTTCATAGTTAGAGTTACAGACAGAGAGAGGTAGAGACAGAGAGAAAGGTCTTCCTTCCATTGGTTCACTCCCCAAATGGCTGCAACAGCCGGAGCTGGTCTCCCATGTGGGTGCAGGGGCCCGAGGACTTGGGCCATCCTCTACTGCTTTCCCATGCCATAGCAGAGAGCTGGACTGGAAGTGGAGCAACCGGGACTCGAACCAGCACCCATATGGGATGCTAACCTACTGCGCCACGGTGCCAGCCTCACCATTTTCTATTAAATTTTCCTTAAGACCTACACTCTTAGAAAATTTCAGGTACATAATATAGTTCAAATCATTAACTATAGTCATATCTATATACATTAAATATCCTGAACTTACTTATTCATTTTGCTTAATTGAAACTTTGAACCCCATATCCAACATCTCCCACTTGCACTTTTGTCTAGTCTCTGGCAACCATCATTCAATTCTCTGCTTCTGTGATTTTGATAATTTTAGATTCTACATAAAAGTATTTTTCTTCCATAACCATCTGGCATATTTCACTTAGCATGTTGTCCTCCAATCTTTCTTCTCACAAATAACATTTCCTTCTTTACCAAGGCAGAAGAGAATTTCAAGGGTGTGTGGGGGTGTATGTGTCTAAGTGTATCTGTCTATAACTGTGTATAATTTTTTTCTCCTTTCATTGATGACAGAAATTCAGATTGTTTCCAACTTTGGATATTGTGAATAATGAAAACATGAACATGGTAGATCTTTGAGATACTGATTTTATTTCCTCTGAATGTATACATGCTAGGGAGATAACTGAATCATAACATAGTTCTAATTTTAATTTATTTTAGGAAGTTTTATTGTTTTCCATAGCAGATGCACCAAATTATGTTCTCACCAGCAATATACCTGAGTTCCTCTTTTCTGCATCCTTGCTCAAACTTTTTAAAAAACAATTTGTTTATTTATTTGAAAAAGGAGACGCAAAGAGAGAGATCTTCCATCTGCTGAGTCACTCTGCAAATGGCTGAAATGGCTGGGGCTGAGCCAAGCTAAAGAGGCTTCTTTCAGGTTTCCCAAGTGGGCACAGGGGCCCAAGCACTTGGACCATCCTCTGCTGTTTTCCTAGATACCAGTGGTATATGCTGTGGCTTTAACCTGCTCTACCGCAATGCCAGTCCCGCTTGATCATACTTAATCATGCGATTTTTTAATTTAAAAAATTTTGTTTAAGTTATACAAGTTTCATGTATTTCATATATACAGAGTTAGAAACAGTGATAATCCCCACCCTGCCATCCCTCCAACCTGTGTTCTATCCCTTCTTCCTTCTCCCTCTCCTATTCCCACTCTTAATTTTTACAAAGATCTATTTTTGGTTTACTTGTGACTCATAAGGATAACCCTACACTAAGAGTTCAACAGATAGTATGATGAAAAAAAAAAAGACACTGTTCCTCAACAGAAGAGACAAAGGCTGTAAAAAATCATACAGTCAAAATGTCCATTTCACCCCAATACATTACATTTTATGTATTTAATTAGTTACTCCAGATCAGGGAAAACATATAATATCCTGCCACTTTGTCAAATTATTTTATGAGTTTCAGTAATTCCTCAGGGAGTCTTTTTGATCCTCTCTCTATATAGAATCATGTCATCTGCAAATGGGGCTAGTTTGACTTCCTCCTTTCCCATTTATATCCCATTAATATCTTTTTCTTGACTAATGGCTCTGGCTAAAACTTCTGGTACTATATATTTAATAGCAATGTTGGAAGTGGGCATTATTTCTGGTTCCAGATCTTAGTAAAAATGCTTGCAGCTTTTACCCATTCAGTAAATTGCTGGCCATGGGTTTGTCATAAGTTGCCTTGATTGTGTTGAGGAATGTTCCTTCTATACCTAATTTGCTTAAACTTTTCATCATGAAAAGATATTGTATTTCATCAAGTGCTTTTTCTGCATCTATTGAGATAATCATATGGTTTTTGTTCTTTAGTTTGTTAATCTCCTGTATCACATTTATTTATTTGTGAAAGTTACATCCATCCATCCATCCCTGCATATCAGGGATGAAATTTGATAATTTCAAGTGAATTCTCTTAGAGCCCACTATATTTTCTTCTGTTTATTCTTCAATTGAAGCTCTCTGTTGAAATTTACAATTCAGTCAGTTCCATAGGTTCTGTTTCTGTTTTTAAAATTTGTATTCATTTTAACATAGGGGACAGAGGGAGAGGAGGAATGAGAGGATGGGTGAGAGAGAAGGAGACAGAGAGAGAGTGCGAGAGCGGGCTGCATCGCTGATTCTTTCTCTGAATACCCATAATAATCTTGAGGTAGGAACAGAGCTGGGAGCCAAAAACTCAATCCAGTTGTCACACATAGTGCTAGGAACCTTACTGACCTTACTGTCTGAGACATCACCACTGTGTCCAGGGATCTGCATTAGCAGGAGTTTGGGTCAGAAGCTGGGGTCAGTTACTGAACCCAGGTACTCCACTGTGACACATTGTCTTAACCATCATCTCAACCACTAGGTTAAATACCAACCTTATATTCATTTCTCTTTTAATAGTTTCTTTTATTAAATTACATATTTTGTTCTTACATTTCCCTTATATCTTTTAGTTTTCTGTGTTTGTTTTCTCATGTAGTTTAACTGAGTTTTCTTAAGACAATTTTTTTGATTTGTCTGGTAGTTCATAGATCTCCATTTCTTTAGCTTTAGTGACTGGCTCTTTATTTTGTTCTGTTGGTGGTATCATTTTCTATATCTTTTTTGTTTTTCTTATCGTTTTGCCTTGAGGCTTGATTATTTGAAGAAATTATCATCTTTTCCAATATCTACAGACTGGCTTTTGCAGGGGAAACTCTTCAAATATCAGCCCCACAATAGATGGTATGCAGGTTGACAGACTTCTATCAGAGAGTGGCCTCCTGTTTGGATTCATGGGGGAAGGCTTGTTCTGGGTCATGGCTGGGTGAGTCTTGTTCTAGGAGACATTGGACCAGCTATGTCTTTGGGTCCATTCTGTTGTGTCTTGTGTTTGAGGGTACAAGGGTGGTTTAGAGCCTAGACCAATGGAGACCAACTCAATACTAGGCTGGGGCCTTTTTGCCTAGTCTATCTATTCTGGCCTGACACTAGAATGCGCCTGGTACTTGGGTTTAATCTGACTTTGAAGGAGTCCTGGTACCTGGTGCTGAGGGAATTCCTAGGGCCTGGATTAGTGTGAACCTGTATCTGTAGGTGCTGGCCTAACACTGTGTCAGCCATAGCACTGTTTCAGGTGGATCAGTATAATTCTCAGTAGATTTGGAGTGTGGGTATATGAAAAATGGCCTGGAATTGGGGTGAATCTGGTTCCTAGTGAAGTTGGATGCTCACTTCACTACCATTTCCCCATGAATGAGCCTTAGTGTGGAGGGTATCTCTTTTAGCTCCATGCTGTATGTTCTAAAGGCAAAGTGATTCTGGTAAAGTTAAAGTGAAACTGTCTTTCCTATGCTGTTCGGTGCATTTTTTTCTCACATTTGTGCTCAGCCTGGGTACTGTAATCACATACCTGGAATCTGAAACTCTTCTGAGGGAAATTTCTTACATGATCTATGTGTATTTTTAATGTCAGTATTTTTCTGGGGAGACCAAGGCTGGAAGTGCCTAGACTACCATCTTGCGAACATTTTACAAATCCTTTAAAGAAAACATTTTTGGGGCCAGCGCTGTGGCGTAGTAGGTTAAGCATCCCCCAGTGTTGCCTACATCTCATATGGGCGCTGGTTTGGGTCTCAGCTGCTCTACTTTGTATGCCATAGGGAAATAATAAAATTGGTCTGTATAAAGATTGCTATGACTTGAATGTTTCCACCAAAATGCATGTAGGAAAACAATCCTTATTGTGAAGCAGTAGGAAGTGGGACCTTTAAGAGGTAATTGGGTCCTGAAAATTCTGCTTTTATGAGTGAATTAGCCCACTCATGAATTAATGGTTTAGTGTATTTTTTTTTTGACAGGCAGAGTGGACAGAGAGAGAGAGACAGAGAGAAAGGTCTTCCTTTGCCGTTGGTTCACCCTCCAATGGCCGCCGCGGCCAGCGCACCGCGCTGATCCGATGGCAGGAGCCAGGTACTTATCCTGGTCTCCCATGGGGTGCAAGGCCCAAGGACTTGGGCCATCCTCCACTGCACTCCTGGCCCACAGCAGAGAGCTGGCCTGGAAGAGGGGCAACCGGGACAGAATCCGGCACCCCAACCGGGACTAGAACCCGGTGTGCTGGCGCCGCAAGGTGGAGGATTAGCCTAGTGAGCCGCGGCGCCAGCGGTTTAGTGTATTAATAGGCTATCAAAGGAGGGGCTTTATGATAAAACCAGACCTTTTTTTCTGGCTTTCTTAGTCTGCCTTGCCTTGTGATGTCCTCTGCTATGTTGCGGACCTTACCAGGAAGGCCTTCCCCAGATTCCAGTGTAAAATATTAGAGTTCAGAACTGTAGGAGAAATAAAATTCTTTTATACAAATAAGAAACTCAGCCTGTGGTATTCAGTTATAGCAACAGTAAATGGACCATGATAAAGTTCATTACTTTTTTTTTTTTTTTTTGGACAGACAGAGTTAGTGAGAAATACAGAGAGAAAGGTCTTCCTTTTGTCATTGGTTCACCCCTTCAAGTGACCGCTAAGGCTGGCGTATTGCGGCCAGCACGCCTGCTGATCTGAAGCCAGGAGCCAGGTGCTTCCTCCTGGTCTCATGTGGGTGCAGGGCCCAAGGACTTGGGCCATCCTCCACTGCACTCCTGGCCCACAGCAGAGAGATGGACTGGAAGAGGAGCAACCAGGACAGAACCGGCGCTCCAACCGGGACTAGAACCCAGGGTGCCGGCACCGCAGGCAGAGGATTAGTCTAGTGAGCCGTGGCGCCTGCCCAAATTTCATTACTTTCAACAGAAGCTGTCTTAACTCTTTGTGACCCAAAATATTCTTTTGCATTATCTCTTCAAATTGACTGTTATTTTCAATTTCTGACTTCCTCTGGATAGTCTTTTGGCATTTAACTTATATAATGGAATATCATCTTATGAAATGTTACATAGTAAAATGAAAGAATTTTGAAGATATAATAAAATTCCATAACCAATTTACTCTGGGTTATTCAAAAGGAAAATCATCCTGAGTTTGTCAGTACTAATTATGTGAGCCCATTTTTAATCATTTTATTTAAAAATACATATTTGTGGGGTACATTATAATACAAACACATGTACTTGATGTGTGTAGGTGAAATCAGGTTACTCAGCATCTCCATCTTTTTAATTATATGAGCTGTTCAGATATTAGAAATGTCAGAATGGTTCTGCTGCTGGTTTGAAACCCATATTTGGAGCATGTCCAGTGTCCAGAACCCGGGAGTTTTAAACCATCACCTGGATTTCAGCCCTGTGAGACTCTGAGCAGAGAAGCCCCCTCGCTGGCATTCTAGCCTACAGTAACTGTGACATAAAAAATGGATATGGGATTGAGCTGCCAAATCTTTTTTTTTAATACAGGAATAAGCATTGTCAGCGTATTAATGAAGGGCAAATGCATTAATATTTGTGCACTCAGTTTACACTTTCTAAACATAGAATGAAGTAATAGCTCATGGAAGAAATCTCATTGATTTTGTTATACACCTGTCTTTTTATGATTTCTCACTCAGGAAAGCCAAGTATGGTTTTCCATATTTTTTATTCTTCTCTATAACCTTTCACAGAACTCTCTTAGTGTATAGTTATGTAACTCTCTTCTTCCCTACAATTATCTTTTCTGATGTAAATGACTACAAGTGAAGAAAAAAGAGCAACGTCTATCTATATTTCTTTTCATTTATTTCTTTCTCTTTCCTTACAACCTTACTAGGAAAACTTTTGAGTTATTTAATAATGGAGAAAAAAAGACAAAAGAAACATATACCAAATCAAAATTAGATCAAAGAAATAAGGTACTAGTGTTAAGCAGGATATTGAAGTGACTGTAGTTCACAATAACTTCTTAAATCTTCTATGAGCAAATGGAAGAACAGAATTCCAAGAGTCCAGTCATAAAATAATGTCAAAGAAGGGGAAATGGTGATATCCTGACTACATCATATACCTTATATACAATTATAGAAATAAATACATGTACAGCCCCTAAATGGGCTAACCACTATTATGGTTAATAATATTTGTGAAGCATGCTATATGAGTAATATATGTTTAAATGCAAGTATATTTTAACTTTGACAGGTTCAAAAAATGCTCCATTTGTCTGCTATGAAGAAATGAATGCTCATGCAGATAGGTATGGGAACTGTGGTAAATGGAGGACCTCACATAGAAGCTGTACATGGAGGTATGTGCTAAACAAATATTTTTTTTAAACTTTTATTTAATGCATATAAATTTCCAAAGTACGACTTATGGATTACAATGGCTTCCCCCCCATGCCGTCCCTCCCACCCACAACCCTCCCCTTTCCCACTCCCTCTCCCCTTCCATTCACATCAAGATTCATTTTTGATTATCTTAATATACAGAAGATCAGCTTAGTATACATCAAGTATGGATTTCAACAGTTTGCTCCCACACAGAAACATAAAGTGAAAAATAATAGATGATTTTTTTAAAAATGATGATGAAATCAGAGCAGACCTATTGTCATGTTTAATCCCAGTGAGAGTCAAGTTGGGAATTGATAATGTGGCTTAGAGTGTTTTCTTCTTTTTTTTTTTTACACAGAGGATCAGTTTAGTATGCATTAAGTAAGGATTTCAACAGTTTGCACCCCCATAGAAACACAAAGTGAAATATATTGTTTGAGTACCCGTTATAGCATTAAATCTCAATGTACAGCACATTAAGGATAGAGATCCTACATGAGGAGTAAGTGCACAGTGACTCCTGTTGTTGACTTTACCAATTGACACTCCTGTCTATGGCATCAGTAATCTCCCTATGCTCCAGTCATGAGTTTCCAAGGCTATGGAAGCCCTCTGAGTTCTCCGACTCTTATCTTGTTTAGACAAGGTCATAGTCAAAGTGGAGGTTCTCTCCTCCCTTCAGAGAAAGGTACCTCCTTCTTTGAAGACCTGTTCTTTCCACTGGGATCTCACTCACAGAGATCTTTTGCCAGAGTGTCTTGGCTTTCCATGCCTGAAATACTCTCATGAGCTTTTCAGCCAGCTCCGAATGCCTTTAGGGCTGATTCTGAGGCCAGAGTGCTATTTAGGACATCTGCCATTCTATGAGTCTGCTGAGTATCTCACTTCCCATGTTGGATCACTCTCCCCTTTATTTACCCCATCGGTTAGCGTTAGCAGGTACTAGACTTGTCTATGTGCTCCCTTTGACTCCTAGTCCCTCCACCATGACCAACTGTGAACAGAAATTGATCACCTGGAACAGTGAGATGGCATTGGTACATGCCACCTCGATGGGATTGAATTGGAATCCCCTGGTATGCTTCCAACTCCACCACTTGGGGCAAGTCAGCCTGAGCATCTCCCAAATTATACATCTCTTCCCTCTCCCATTCCCACTCCCATGTTCAACAGGGATCACATTTCAGTTAATTTTCAACACTTAAGAATAACTGTGCATCAATTACAGAACTAAACCAGTCATATTAAGTAGAACAGATAAAAAAAACTACTAAGAGGGATAATGTATTAAGTTGTTCATTAACAGTCAGGGCTATGCTGATCAAGCCACCGTTTCCCATAGTGTCCACCTCACTCCAACAGGTTTCCCTCTTGGTGTTCAGTCAGTTGTCACCGATCAGGGAGAACATATGGTATTTGTCCCTTTGGGACTGGCTTATTTCACTCAGCATGATGTGTTCCAGATTCCTCCATTTTGTTGCAAATGACTGGATTTCGTTGTTTCTTACTGCGGTATAGTATTCTAAAGAGTACATATCCCTTAATTTCTTTATCCAGTCTACCGTTGATGGGCATTTAGGTTGGTTTCCAGGTCTTAGCTATTGTGAATTGAGCTGCAATAAACATTAGGGTGCAGACCTCTTTTTTGTTTGCCAATTTAAATTCCTTTGGGTAAATTCCAAGGAGTGGGATGACTGGGTCGAATGGTAGGGTTATCTTCAGGTTTCTGAGGAATCTCCAGACTGACTTCCATAGTGGCTTGACCAGTTTGCATTCCCACCAACAGTGGGTTAGTGTCCCTTTTTCCCCACATCCTCGCCAGCATCTGTTGTTGGTAGATTTCTGCATGTGAGCCATTCTAACCGGGGTGAGGTGAAACCTCATTGTGGTTTTGATTTGCATTTCCCTGATTGCTAATGACCTTGAACATTTTTTCATGTGCCTGTTGGCCATTAGTACTTTTCTTATATTCCGTGTTCCCTTTTTAGTATTCTCTCCCACTGCTTGACATGTGTCATTCATTCCAATCATTTTTGAAAAGTAGCCTATGCATAAAAGTGAATCTCAAAATCTCCAGCTCTAACATCTTTTTATGCTACAGGCTATAGAGTTTCATCTTATTTTAAAGTATTTATGTGTGTATGGCTATTAGGCTCCAATATCAAGTACATAATGCTCACTGTGGTATGGGCAATTCAACACCCAGATGGACTTGTTCCAGGCTCTTCTTTCCAGATGCAAAAGAATTCAAGGAGGAGACATAAAGCAGGAAAGCAGGTTTTATTTAAAGGGGTAGAAAAGAGTCATGCATATGGGCAGTCCTTATTGTAGAGAACGGAAGAGCTGCTAATCCCCCCAAAATTTAGTTCATTCCTTCATTAGCTAAAGGGGGTTGCCCTATTGAACATTAAAATAGAGCTGAGTTTGGATAGGTTTTGAGTACTGCTGGCTTCTGTGTCCCCCTTTTTTTGGGCATCTTGGAGGTGTATAGTGTCTCCGCATGGACTGTATATCATACATGTAGTCATCTTGGCATCTCATGCATGACAGAGAGTGAGCATAACAGGGAATGGTGTGTGTAGCCTGTAGTCATATTGGATGGGAAAGGAAGGGGATGGGATTTGGGCGGTACAGAGTCATAATACCTCTCAGATTGTTGCTCAGTAGCTCCCTGCGTGCCCAAATTGATGGTATCTTTCCTTTCCATTTTAATTCATTTTTCCCAAAGGAAGTAGTATCCCTATTCACTTTGTTGCTTATCCAAAATGAAGTGTCTATAAAGTTCAATTTCTCCTGCATCTAGAGTTATCTCTCTAATGTTTTATCTAGAGTTTAAAGAAACATTTATTAAGAACATAGTTTGTGCCAGATACTGGGATAAATACTAGTTAGCAAAGTGTAGTTGCAGATTTGGTAAAATTTGTAGTTACAGAATTGATAAGCATACTTTTTGCCGTGTAATTTATGCTTCCTTGATTTGTTTATACTAGTTAAAAACTTGTAAAAAACTATTAATTCTTTTGAAAGATGAATAAGTAAATGAATTTATATATTTTTGCCTTTATTCTAAATGTTAGTATTAAGTTATTACATTTTTCCCTAAGGGCATTAGCATAAACAAGGAAAGCAAGTTTAAATCATTCCTTATAAATGCTCAATGTGTAATACCTATCTGTATTTATTATGTTTGCAGAAGTCTTGGATGTGGACGATTAATTTGTATCTACCCTTTTCAAACTCCTTTTTATCAAGAAAATGGTACTGTGGTTTATGCCTCTGTAGAAGATAACTTATGTGTGACGATATCCTATGGTTTGATTGAAGTACCTGTAGATCCACTGTTGATCCCCAACGGTGCCGTATGTGATAAGGAACGGGTAAACAATTTAAAATATATTTTAAAAGTATCCAGTTTTATTCATGCTTTAATACATATTTTCATTTATGCATCAAATTTTAATTCATTTCTAGTGTCATGTGACCTTAAGTATTTGCATGAGAAAATGAATGAGTTTATGATCTCTAGATAGTAAATGGTAATGGGAATGTCTTTCAAAATTTCAACAAGAGCAAGGAAACTCAAGTATTTTAGGTATATGGAGAACAGAGAGAAGAAGTTAAGAAAATATATTGAGGTTAAGTACTTCATAGCATTAGATAGCCATGGTTTTTCTCAAAGAAGAAAGAAGGAATCCTATTTCGTATTATGTGAGTATGTAAATGTATAAGAACTCACCTCTTATCAGGCTGCTTAGAATCAAATATTAATCTCTTATTGTGTGATATTATACAAATTGCCTACCAGTCTGAGGTCCCTCAATTCTATGTAAATTGGGGATAATAGTAGCATGTGTTCTATAGCACATAGTAAGAGCTAAATTTAATTAATATATTGTAATTGATTTCAGATTGTTATATCTGAAACCAGTTGAAATCAGGGAAAGGCTTGAAATAAATTTACTTCAAAACCTCATCTTTACTAATGAAGATATATGTATATATATGTATGTATATATACACATATACTATATACACTATATAAATATACTATTATATAAATAATATATTTATTATTTATTATTATATATATATTATATAAATACTATATATATTATATATATATAAAAATATATATTATTATATAAATAGTATAATATGTATGTTTTAAAACATATTCACAGATTTGAACCAGAGTCTGCCACTTACATCACAGATTATCTTGAATATATTATTTAATGCAGTTAAGTTTTAGTATCCATAAATATGTATACACATATATATGTGTGTCTATATATATATATGTATATATATGTAAAGATAAATTTCTAGTGATTTTACAGTTTAAAGTTTATTGGAATGGAAGTAGATAGTCTCATTAATACTGATTTCCTTTTCATGCCTAGGAGTCATGCCTTCTTGAAGGAAGTTTAGGCCAGGGATCTCAGTAGATATATTTATATTTGAATTCTAAACAGCTAAAAAATACATTAGTATTTTTATTAGTAGTAGTATATTAGTATATTAGTAGATAATTTAATAAGAATAGAATCCTTTTTTATACATGAACAATTCTTCTCAGGCATAATGTTTGAAAGCAAATTTTATCAGGTTTTTTTTTTTAATGATACTGTGAATTGTTTATGATGGACCATCCTTGGTAATTTTGTTTTTTTTTTAATCAAGGTTCTTATGTAGTTGGGCTCTCATCTTAATTCCAGCTGGGACAGACATACAACATATGCTACATTGCAAAAAGAATTGTTTAAATACACATCACTGCCAAGTTCCCATGTGAAGGGTTTAAAAGTATACTATTGAGGTTTAAAAGGCTAGCATTATGGTTTAGCGGGTTAAGTGCTGCTTGCAATGCTGGCCTCCCACATTGGAGAACTGGTTCTCATCCTGACTGCCCCACTTCTTATCCAACTTCCCGCCTAGGAAAGCAGTCCAGGGTGATCCAGGTACATGGGCCCCTGGCACCCATGTGGATGACCTGGATGGAATTACTGGCTCCTGCTTTCTGTCATTTAAAGTAAACCAGAAGATGGACAATTGCTTGTTTAGTCGCTCCATCTCTCACTCTGCCTTTCAAGTAAATAAAAAAAAAATCGTAGGAAAGGGGTTAGATAAGATTTTGTGAAGCTATTTCTTTGAAGAGAGTTGCCCTGTACTTTAATGTTTATAAGGATATATTTGCACATTCGTCATCTCATTTTAACTTGGAAACAACCTTGAAACAAACTGAAATGCTATTTACTTTTCTAAAATAACATTTTATTTTAAAACATTATTGTGCTGGCTCCGCGGCTCAATAGGCTAATCCTCCGCCTAGTGGCGCCGGCACAACGGGTTCTAGTCCCAGCCAGGCGCCGGATTCTGTCCCGGTTGCTCCTCTTCCAATCCAGCTCTCTGCTGTGGCCCGGGAGTGCAGTGGAGGATGGCCCAAGTCCTTGGGCCCTGCACCCCATGGGAGATCAGGATAAGCACCTGGCTCCTGGCTTCGGATCAGCGCAGTGTGCCAGCCTCAGTGCGCCGGCCGCAGCGGCCATTGGAGGATGAACCAACGGCAAAGGAAGACCTTTCTCTCTGTCTCTCTCTCTCACTGTCCACTCTGCCTGTCAAAATAAATAAATAAATAGAAAACATTATTGTACTCATGTAAGAAACTGTAATTATATAGGAGTTGGGATCCTTGTATGTATGTTGGAAATATATGGTTAGTACTCTAACTACAATAGTTTATGTCTTTTAAAAATCATTTATTTGAGAATAGAGAGACAGACTAGAACAGAAGACAAAGTGAGGGCATAAGAGAATTCCCATCCACTGGTTCACTCCGCAAAAGCCAAGAAATGAGTCCACATTTCCATGTGGGTGGCAGGGATACAGTCATTGGTGGTATAACCTACTGCCTCCCAGAGTGTGCATTAGTAGGAACTTGGAATCAGGAGTGGAGCTGGGACTCAAATTAAGGTATTCTTAACCACAAGGCCAAATGCCTGCCCCTGCTTACTCTATATTTAAAGAATTATATCTACATTTTAATATACTTTGTAATAACATAGTCAACATGTTATATTTAAAAATTTTTATTTAGTTTCATTTTATTTGGAAAGGGAGAGAGAGGCAGAGATGGAGAGAGATATCTTCTATTCTGTGGTTTATTCCCCAAATGCATACAACAGCCAGGGCTGCGACAGGCCAAAGCCAGGAGCCTGGAAACTCCGTCTGAGTCTCACATAAATGAGAGAGATGCAGATACTTGAAGTATCGCATACTGACTGCCTCCTAGTATGATGAAAATTAGCAGCAAGATAGATCAGTGGTAGAGTAGCTAGGATTTGAACCTAGTACTCCCACATGGAATATGGTATCCCAAATGCGGAATTAACCACTGTCCCCTCTATTATATTATTTAAAAAAATTTCCATTACCTCTATTAAATACTTATGCAACTCTAATAGCAGCTCATAATTTCTGAAAAGATTATATGCCATGATTATATAAAAATGATTATCTTTCTATGCACAGTTTTATTTGGACAGTGAGTCATTTTTTAAACTATGTGCACAGGAATAGGTTTCTTTTTGTGTTTTTGGTGTTTTTTTTTTTTGGTTTTGCTTTTGTTTTTAGATTTTAGATTTGATGGTTTTGTTACGAAAAGTGGTTCTTCAGTTATGGAATTTTTGTTATAGCCAAGCTTATTTCATTGATATTCTCCACTTCCTTCCCTGGCCACTTTTAAAAATTATGAATTTAGTTCAATTTTAGATTCATAGCAAAATTTTTTTGTGTGATACAGTGTTTCCCAATATACTCCTTGCCTTCTATATCCTATGCAACCTACCCACTACCCACAATGCACAAGAGAGTGGTCCATTTTTACAATTAGTGTGCCTACATTATTCATCTTTATGGACTTCAGTTGTTCATAATTTACATTTGGATTACCTTGAAAATCCTAAAAAATATGGAGACTAAAAAATGCACTTCTAAATAACACATTGGTCAAGAAGAATTCTTAATGGAAACTATTTTTCAAAGTTCATGGTTCACAGCAAAATAATACTTAAAAATTTTTATAGCATTGGTTAAGATTTTATGTTGTATAATAATTAATTTTGATGTTATATTTGACAAACTTCTCTGAACTGGGATGTTTTGGTATATTTTGCTTTTAGGTTTGTGTAAATGCTGAATGTACAGAAACAAGATTCATGAGGAATCATTCATACCATTGTGGACTACAGTGCCATGGACATGGAGTAAGTAAGCTCATGGTTTCCTTAATCATATCTCCCTGTGACACTAATCGCTCATTAGTTTATCATTTTTTTACTGGATTCCTACATGTCCTGTGCCCTAGCCTAAATTTGGAGCTGAGCTGAATAAATTCAATAGTCAAACATAATTTTACAGTACACTTTGAGTATTATAGAAAATATTATAAGTGAATAGGCTCTAAAAATTGAGTAGAAAATACAGAGATTTCCCAAATAACCCCTTACCACATGTATGCACTGTGGGGAGCAGGGTCCATCTGCCGCAACATGGCATGGCGCCCGGGAGACAAATAAGTACTGAGACTGTGGACTGAAACTAACTCTATGCGTCTGATCTCCCACCATATGGTGCTGAGAGGGAGAAAACAAATCTTACACAGCTGTTTTGTCAATTATCTGATTCCTGACCCAACCTTTAATTGGAAGAAAGCAGCGTGCTCAGCAGGCGGGCAGCAGAGCACGGATTGGTGGGAGAGGACTATAAAAGGGGGAGAGAGACAACATGCGGGGCCCCCTGAGTCAGTGGGAGAGCTCGTTGGTGCCACTCCTCCGCGAAAGCAGGGGAGCGGTGGGGGTGCTGCTCCTCCGCGGAGGCGGGGGAGCGGCAGCAAATCCGGGAAGGACCGGGGAAAGAAAACAGGGGCCGGTGTCGTTCCTCCGCGAGTGGGGGAGCGACAGGTGGTTCTGTGACACGGATACGGACGCGGGGACAGAAAGCCAGCCGCGGCGGGGACAGCGTCCCATCTGGTGTCGTTCCTCCGAGAGTGGTGGAGCGATATGCACAATCTCTCCAATTTCAACATCACATACTGGAATGTTACATTTGTTAGAGTTGATGACTTATACTAACACATAAGTAGTACCTAAAGTCAGTAGTTTACATTGGGTTCACTTGATGTTGTGCATTCAATGGGTTTTGACAAATATGTAATACCACATATCTACCATCATAGTATACAGAATATATTCACTGTCCTGAAATTCTGCCCTCTGCCTCTTCATGCCTCTCTTTCCTTTCACCACTGGAAACCACTGAACTTTCTACTCTCTGTACAGTTTTTTTTTTTTCATTTCATTTTTAAGAATGCCACTTTTTTGAAATTTTTATTAATATTTTCAGTGGACAAATAATTCAATACATTCATGGGGAGATATATATATACATATGGTGAAACAACTGAAATTTATTTTGTAAACAGCTGTTTTGAAATATGCAATGCTATTACATACAGTATGTCACTTTATTACTAGTTAATAGTATATTACTTGCATTGTTATGATACATATTTAATTAATAATTATTAATATATTATTAAATATACATTATTACTATATTCACCATGCTGTTAATAGATCTTAAAAAATTATTTTGTTGTCTAAGTTAATCTTTACCCTTTGACAACTTCCCATTCTCTTCCCTCCCCAATTATACTTCTATGCACTCAGCTTTTTAAATATTCTTCACATATATTTTGGTACATATACATGCTCAGTTTTTTGATCATGTACTTAAAAGAGGAATTTCTAAGTTATAGAGAGTGTATAAGTTTAATAGATGGGGTGGATTTTAAGCTCTCCCCATGTCTTTTTGTAGCTCAGTATTTTTTATTGTTTTTACTTAATTTTTTAAAAGCAGTTTTAGGTTCTCAACAAAACTGAGTAATGTACAGATATTTCACAAACACCTCCTGCCCTAAACTTGAATAAGAGCTCTTGTTATCAGTACCACCCACGAGAGTGGCAAAAAGTTGTTTGAATGAATGAAATTAAATTTATGGGTCATTATCTACTACCCAGGGTCTATACATTACGTTAGGATTGATTCACTGAGTATTTCACTTTTGGGCAATATTAATATAAATGGTATTGTACTTTTAACTTCAAATATCACTTGTTCATTGCTAGTATATGGGAAAGTGATTAAATTCTGTACATTTAACCTTATATCGTTCAGCCTTGCTGTGATCACTTGTTAGTACCAAGAGGACTTTTTCTTCATTTTTAAATTTTCTCATAGATAATTATTGCATAAAAGGAAAAACATTTTATTTATTCTGTCCCAATCAGTATAAATTTAATTCATTTTCTTGTCTTATTCCCTTAGCTAGAACTTCCAAAATGATGTTGAAAAAGGAGTGGTGCTAGTGGACATCCTTGTGTTGTCCCTCACTTAAGTAGGAAAATGACAGATTGCTTACCATTAAGAATGACATCACTATGGGTTTCTTTTGCATATTCTTTTCTAGTTGAGGAATTGCCCATATAGTTCTAGTTTGCTTATATTTAAAAAGTCAAGAATGGGCGTTTCATTGTTTTTTTTTATTATTTTTTTATTTTTATTTATTTATTTATTTTTGACAGGCAGAGTTAGACCGTGAGAGAGAGAGAGACAGAGGGAAAGGTCTTCCTTTCGTTGGTTCACCCCCCAAATGGCTGCTACGGCAGGCGCACAGTGCTGATCCAAAGCCAGGAGCCAGGTGCTTCCTCCTGGTCTCCCATGCAGGTGCAGGGCTCAAGCACTTGGGCCATCATCCACTGCCTTCCCGGGCCACAGCAGAGACCTGGACTGGAAGAGGAGCAACTGGGACAGAATCTGGTGCCCCGACCAAGACTGGGTGCCGGCGCCACAGGTGGAGGATTAGCCTAGTGAGCCGCGGCACCAGCCTCATTGTTTTTTTTAGATACTTTTCTGTTTCTATTAATATAATAATGTAATTTTTTTTGTAGCCTATTTATCTGAGATGTATTAAAAAATTTATTTTTAAGATGTTGAACCAGCCTTGAATGCCTGCAGTAAAGCTCAATAGGTTGTGGTATGCAGTAATTTTTAGATATTGTTAAATTCAGTATGCCAATATTTTGTTGAAAAATTTTACATTTATATCCCTCAGAAATTTTGGTTCATGGTTGTCATTATTCTTAGAATATTTCTTGCTTGTTTTGGTATTAGGGCAGTATTGGCCTGGTAGAATGAATTAGGAGGTATCCTCTCTGCTTCTATTTTCTGAAAGAGATTGTAGAAAACTGATTTAATTTCATAGCAAATGTTTTGAATGCATTTGAAAAAAACACAATTGTTTGTTAGATCAACTGATAGAATAAAATATTTTATGATACTTTTATGTTTTCCTTCTCTAATTCCTTTCCTTTTTAATGTAAACATGCTTTTCTAACCTAAAATATTTTCATTTCACAGCAGAACTTCTTTTAATATTTCTCTCAAGGCTGGTGGTAAATTTGCTCTAATTTTGTTTGAGAAACTATTTTTCACTTTTGAAAGATGATTTTTCAGGATTCTAAATTTTATATTGATGAACATTTTTTGCTATAAGCCTCAAATATTTTTTCTACTCTTTGTGCTTTCATGATTTATGAAAAAAATTCTAATGTAATTTTATCATTGTGTATTTACAGATATGTTTTCCCCCCTTCTGGCTTCTTTTGAAATGTGTTCTTTATCTTTGATTTTCTGTAACTTAAAATTACATGTCTGAATATAAATTTTTGATACATACCATGCTCAGTATTTTTGAAATTTCAGTGTCCAGTGATTTTATGTGAGACAATAATTTCTGAAAAATTTCAGTCATTTATTTAAATATTTCTTCAATTCCATTTTTTCTTTTCCTTTTGATTTTCCAATTATAAATGTGTTAAACCTTATGTAGTTCTTGTATATTCTGTTTTATTTTTTCATCTTAAATCCTTGCTTTTCAGTTTTAGAAGTTTCTACCAAGGTATCCTCAAGCTTAGAGATCTTTCCTCAAATATAATTATTTTAGTAATGAACTCATCAAAGGCATTCTTCATTTTTGTTACAGTTGGTTTTGATCTCTAAAATTTCTTTTTGTTTCTTGCTTAGAATTTACATATCATTGGTTACATTCCCTGCCTATTTTTGCATGCTGTGTACTTTGTCCATTAGAGCTCTTATCATAATAATCATAATTTGAAATTCCTTGTCTAAGAATTCTAACTTTTCTGTCATAAATGAGTCAGATTCCGATCCTTACTCTATCTCTTTGAACTATGTTTTTAGTTTTATCCTATACTTAGTAAGTTTTTCTTGATAATTGGGCATGCTTACTTGTATTAAAAAAAAAAAAAAAAACTGTGATGTACTGGAAGTAAGATGTATGAGAATGAAGAATTCTGTTATCCTGTGATGAGTCTGTAGTTCCAGGCTATAAATTTTATAAGTACTATGCAGTTGTGCACTACCATCCACTGCCCCTCCTTCTTCACTAACTTGAAGCAGAAGGGGCTAGAGATAGGTATTTCTTTTCCCTCATGTGGAAGGCAAGCTTGGACTATTATTAACATATTTCCCCTCCTTTAGATCATTTAGGCTCTGAAAATAAGCCAATGAGTTCAGGCTCTGGTAAAATAGCTTATTTTGATGATAGGATTTGTTAAGAATAACCACCTTGGGGCTGGCACTGTGGTATAGTAGGTTAAGCCTCTGCCTGCCATGTCAGCATCTAATTATGGTTGCAAGTTTGAGTCCTGGATGCTCCAATTCCAATCCAGCTCCCTGCTAAGGTCCTGGGAAAGCAGTGGAGGATGGCCCAAGTGCTTGGGCCCCTGCACCCACATATGGAGCTCAGAAGAAGCTCCTGACTCTTGGCTTCAGATTGGCACAGCTATGGATGCTGCAGCCATTTGGGGGCTGAACCAGAGGATGGAAAAGTGCTTGCTCTTGCTCTCTTGCTCTCGCTCTCTCTCTCTCTCTCTCACTCTCTCTCTCTCTCTGCATCTCAGCCTTCCAAATAAATAAATAAATCTATAAAAAAAGATTAACCACCTCAGAATACCAATTTCATTCCTTTCACACACATTCCCAGAAGGGAGATAGCTGTATTACATAGCAGATCCACCTTTCCTTTTCTTCAGAATTTGCATATTGCCCTCCAAGGTGGCTAGAACCATCTGTACTCCCACCAGCAGTGCAGTGGGGCACCCCCTTAACCACAGCCTCACCAGCAGCCATCATTTTTTGAATTTTTAATAATAGCCACACCAACTGGAGCGAGTTGACACCTCATTGTATTCATGTGTACAATTTCTTGATGTCCAGTGATCCTGAGATTTCCTTCATGTGCTTTTAGCCATTTGTATCCCATCTGAAAAATGCCTTTGTCCTTTTCTTAACTGGTTTGCTTATTTTTTTTGTTGTTTTAGTTTGTTGTTGATGTTGTTGAGTTTCTTGAGCTCCTTATATCTGCTGGATGTTAATCCTTTTTCAGATGCAAAGTTTACAGATATTTTCTTCCATTCTGTGTTCTGTTGATTGACTCTTTGATAATTGTTACCTTTGCTTTGCAGAAGCTTCTTAGCTTGATGTAACTCCACTTGTCCTTTTTTTTTTTTTTTGCTTTTATTTCCTGTATTTTTGGGGTCTTATCCTCGAAGTCTTTGCTTAGACTTATATCTTTCATTGTTTTGTTTTCCTCTAATACTTTCATGGTTTCAGGTCTTAAGTTTATATTCTTGATCCTTTGTGTGTTGATTTTTGTTTAAGGTTTAAGTTAAGGTCTTGTTTCAAACTTCTGCCTATAGAAACCCAATTTTCTCAATGCCATTAGTTGACCAGATGGCCTTTAGTTGTCTGTAGATATGAGAGTTAATTGCTGGAGATTCTCTTCCATTCCTTGGGTCTATATTTCTATTTTTCTGCCAATACCAGGCTGTTTCAATTATAACACCTCTGTAATAAGTCTTTAAATATGGTACTGTGATGTTTCTGGCTTTTAAAAAATTGTTTAAGGTTGCTTTGGCTATTCAGAGTCTTTTGTGTTTCCGTATGATTTTTTTAAAAGATTTATTTATTTATTGGAAAGGCAGAGTTACAGGGGAACAGAAGCTGGGGGGGGTCTTCCATTCACTGGTTTACTCCTTAAATGGCCACAATAGCCAAAGCTTGGCCAATCTGAAGCCAGAAGCCAGGAGCTTGTTCCAGGTCTCCCATATGGATGCAGGGAACCAAGGACTTGGGCCATCTTCTATGGCTTTCCCATACCAGAGAGCTGGATCAGAAGTGGAACAGCCAGGACTTTAACCGGGTCCTGTTTGGGATGCAGACACTACAGTCTGTGGCTTTACCCACTATGCCACAGTGCTCACCCCCCCATATAAATCTTAGGATTATTTTTTCTAGTTCTGTGAGAATGTCCTTGGTATTTTGACTGAGATCCCTTGGAGTTTGTAAGTGACACTGAGCAGTATGGTCATTTTTATGATGTTAATTCTACCAATACATAAACACTGAAGATTTTTTTTTCTTGTTTGTATCTTCTTTTATTAATTTCATTAATGTTTTGAAATTATTATTGTAGAAATCTTCCAAATCCTTGGTTAAATTTATCCCAAGATATTTAAATTTTTGGTAGCTACTGTGAATGAGACTGGTCTTATAAGTTATTTCTGGACTGTTGTTGGTACATAAGAATGTTTTTGATTTTTGAGAGTTTATTTTATATCCTGCAACTTTGCTGAATTCTCTCATGAGTGCTAACCGTCTCTTAGTGGTATCTTTTGGTTTTCCTACATAAAGGATCACGTTGTCTGCAAACAGGGGTAATATTACTTTCTCCTCTTCTGTTTCCATTCCTTTGATTTCTTTTTCTTGCCTAATGACCCTGGCTAAGACTTCCAGGACTATAGTGAGAGTGAGCATTTTTGTCTGCTTCCAGATCTTGCTGAAAATACTTTCACCTTTTCTCTATTCAATATGAAGCTGCCTGTGTCTTTTTCATATATTCCCTTTATTTTGTTGAGGTATATTCTTTCTATACCCATCTCTTAAAGATTTTATTGGGAAACCCTTCAAATTTGGGAAATGTTCACCTATTTCATTGAATAGGTTTTCTAAGTTATTCTGTTTTCATATTTGGGTAACCCCTGAGACTCCTGAGGAAAAAACTGTTTTTTTCTTCCTATTTCTTCCTCCTTCTCCTCATTCTCCTACTTCACTTCTTTCTTGTTTGTTTATTCATTTACTCAGTTCTGGTCCAACTGAGATATTTCAAAAACTCTGTCTTCCAGATCAGCTATTGTTTCTTCTGCCTCATCATGTTGTTGCTAAATTATTTGATTTATTGCATAGTTCATTTCTAACATTTCTGTTTGGTTCATTTTCAATATCTCAGTCTCTTCACTGCATTTCTCATCCATGTCATATACTAATTTCCTCAATTCATTTAATTGCTCTTTTTCAGTAACCTTAAAATCTCCCTTTCTTCACAGTCTATATTAATGCTCCCATTTAGGGAGTCAATATATTCTTCCTTGTTCATTTTTCTTTTTCTTCTATGTTAATTTTTGCACATCTTGGGCATCTCTTGTTCCTATCACTTGGAGAGGATAGTTCTTTTTTTTTTATTGAATACTTTATTCTTGGAGGTGGGCCCCTAGGCCTCAGCAGGGCACTTAATGGTTACAGTTGAGCTCTAGAGGTTTATGATGAGTTGGGCCATGAAGTTCTTGCAACTGTTTGTGGGTGAGATAAGAGTCCAGAGTAACAACAAAGGTGAGTATGGTGGAGTGCTTCCGGTTACAGTGAGTGGTGTGAGGGGATGTTGGAGCCAGCTGGTGAATTTTTATTGCCAGATGTTCACCATGCCATGGTAAGCCAGCTGAGCCACTGCTTTGAGTGAGCTCAAGATGCCAGTGCACTCCACGCACCCAGGTATGTGCACAATCACCCCAAAGTGTGTCCCCCGACTCTATGATGAGATCTGTCCCAAGTATACAGGGTGCTCTGAATCTCCAAAGTCTTACAGGGTGGGTACATGGGATACCAGCAACAACCTGTGATTTTTCAAATGATTTGTGAAGAGAGAGAAAGGAAAAGAGGCACCTCTTATTCCAACATGGCATGTCTCCTTTTCACCAGAGTAATAAGGGCTACCCCAGCTGCTGGGCCCCCCTGTCCACCAAAGCTCAGAGCACTGTGTGGCCTAGACTCCGAGGCTTCTGAAGCCCGGTTGGTTCCACTGGACCTTCAGGGCCAAGTCTGTCTTGCGGGAACTCAAGAATGTCTCTGGGCTTCTGGAAAGAAGATTGGGAAGAACCTCTTGCAAGCAGTTCTGCTCTTAAGCTAGCATCATCCTGCATCAATCTGTGCTCTGAGGAGTCGTGGGACGGAACCCTGCGAGTTTCCCCTCTGAAGCCT